TTTTTTCTTTCATCACACGTGTCTGATTATCGTATATTGATCGGAGGATGTTTCCAGAAATTAAAAACAAAAAAGTGAACTTCTAAAATTAGTAGAAAATCGATGATGAAGATACTTTAGAAACCCATTTTTAATGATCAAATATAGGTCAATGAAAAATTAGAATTGATATATAACTCTACCATATACATTTACGAAAGGAAACACTGCCATTGATACTGAAGAAAAATGTTGAGAGATTTTTGATAAGAATAAAACAAAAGCGAAATAATTTAATCATAGAAACATCATTTTCATCAAATATATTCTATCATGCAAAAATAACAGATGAAAGTACTCGTTTTGTTCTATAATTATTTTATTCGTCCTCAATCTATTCATGTAATACATCAAAAGGTTTTCAGAATTTTTACATGTATGCACTAGAGTTATTTAAAGAAAATAGTATCACATTATGTGCCAAGTATTGTTCCACCGATTCTTGGTTCTCTTGTTATTGTTCTTAGAGGAACAACTTGCGCTCGATGTCGCCAACAAAGAAACGTGTCTTTCATTTTGCTTCGTAATTCAGATAATGATGCCAGACAAATAAATGGATATAAATACATTACGTAATTACGAAGAGTAAGTGCAACAATTAAAGGTGTATCTAAATTATTTTGTGATAAATTATTTTTCACAATAAAAACCAAGATTGCCCATGGAGCATCACAAATCAAATAGAAAATTGATGTAAAAATCATTTGAATCATCATTCTGCGATGTTTTTGCCATTGAATTGGTTGATTTAATTTTTGTTTTTGTAATATAACACGCACAATCAATGCAATACTAAGAATAGCAATTAATAAGATGACAATTATGTGATGAAGTAGTATGTCTACTGTTGCTATAATTGCATTATTTAATGCACAAGGACTAGGTGGAATTCCGGGTACGAAATTAAGCTGTGAACTGTCACAAAATGGATTAAAAGTGATTAATATGTAGAAGAGTAGACTATAAATGAGTAGTAACATAGGTGGCATATAATGAACATAGAATCGTTTCTTTCTGGTTGAAATCCATGTATTATGAAAGATGAGTATGTGTCTTTCGATATTCGCCCAGAGAACTAATATAATCTGAATACTATATAGGCCATAATCACAGAAATATGAGAAAAGAAAAGAAAATCCCATTGGTAACATAAATTGATCAGAAGCAAATCCATAAAAGGTGGTACCAAGAAATTCTAATGTACGTAGAATAATAAGAATGAGAAGAAGAATTATGACATGATTATTAAGAGCAGAACGAAGTGTTCGATAAAAAAAAAGGCAATAAAGAACCAATATTGAGCAAAGAACGCATAATATACTTGAAGCAAAAGCAATCCAAAAATCAAATGGATATGACATTAGAATTGTTCACGAGTAATAGCTGATTTCGATGGATCTATGTAGAATATTCAGAGTAAATGAATGCAGAAAATATTAAAGTTTTCCTCCAATTAGAGAAAAAAAGACATGAAAGAGTTTTTTTTTTGTTTGATTCTTCCTTCATGATATAAATAAGATAGAACCATTCAGGCACACATCAATTCTATGCTAGCTTATATTTAGCACGATAATTATCACGTTCTTTTTTTGATTCTTTTCGTACACAAAAAAATAATCGCCTATTTGTTTGTATTTTTTGAATATTTATTTAACTGAAACACCTTTTAAATTAAAAGATGTCGAGTTAGGGATGTACCGAGCCCGAGCCTTGACCGAGCCTCTCGGGCTCGGGGCTCGGTCAGGCTCGGGCTCGGTAAGCTCGGGGCTCGGTCTAGGCTCGGGCTCGGTAGGCTCGGGGCTCGGTCAGGGCTCGGTAGGCTCGGTCAGGCTCGGGCTCGGTCAGGCTCGGGGCTCGGTAGGCTCGGGGTCGGTCGGGCTCAGATGTAAGAAATTCACTCCTACATCCACCTGACACCGAGCCTTGACCGAGCCTCGAGTTGTGACCGAGCCTACCGAGCCCGAGCCCTGATCGAGCCCCGAGCCTACCGAGCCCGAGCCTTGACCGAGCCCCGAGCCTGACCGAGCCCCGAGCCTAACCGAGCCCCGAGCCTACCGAGCCCCGTGCCCGACCGAGCCCCGAGCCTACCCGAGCCCGAGAGGCTCGGGCTCGGTACATGCCTATGTCGAGTAAAAATTTATTTTATTTAGATATACAAGAAAAGATGAAAACATTTGTAAACACAATAAGTATAACGATGATAGTATTTCATTAAAAATCTATTGTGAGTTAGGTAAACAATTTCGAAGTAAATCATTATGAGGATGTGGATGTGGGTATATACTCTTCACCCACACCCACCCTCAAGATGGTTTTGATTCTGATTCGCGATATTGTTCTCGATTGTTGATTGATAACGAGTGCACTATTTCGTGTGTTGTTTGTTGCATTCGCTGATCATTATTAGATAAATTAGGCAAGTCGTTGTGATGTTGAATTGATGACTGATCAGAGAGTGGTGAGACGGGTACTCTAAAACATTCTCTTATTTTATTGGAGAGACATTGTCGATTTTCTGTGTTGAAAAAGCCTGATCGTTTTAATATAAATAAGATGATATTTATAGTGGTAAAAATACTAAATAGAATGAATAATCCTCTTGTCTGTAATAATGTTAAACCATCACCAAAACCATTATTTTTAATCTCATCTTCACGATCACAGTTTTTTTGTTGAAACCATTTGATTAATAAAGTATCAAAAGCAGAACCTGTTCTCAAATCCATTAAGTTTTTGTCTAAATCATCTTTGTAAATCCAGTGTTTTGGTATGGCAACTCCAAAATTTGTTCGACCAAATGGTAGACCAGCCATTTCTATATCACAATGATCTGTTTGTGTAATATAATCCGCACTTGAACTATCAACTATAGCGACATCAATATGATAATCTAACAATTTTGTATAACTTGTCAATGAGTGATTTAAATGATAGTAATTTATCTCTATATCATTCATGACTTCTTTCTTAAAGTAATCTGCATGATGTGATTGTTCAGTAATACCGATACGATTACATCCTATCTTTCCACACATCTTCAGATCTTCTATACTTTGAATCCAAGATTTTTCACGTTCAGTTGCAAAATATTGTACCATATTGCTCGTAAACAGTGCGACTAATATCACACTCATCAACCAAACAAGAACAGTTTGAAAACGGCTAAAAGAAGTTCTTGCTTGCAATTCAGTACCTCTTTGAACTAAACCACCAATCGTATGATACATAGATCTGAACAAGGTTTCTGTTTTAGATTTATAATAAATATCGCTTACAGAAGGAGTGTTGATATTTAAATTATCGACGTCGATTGCAATAGATCTTTCTTTTCCATCGATAAATTCAAATATAGCAATAATAAACGCTGAGAAAAGATAAATTACAAAGAAAATACTTAACCAAAGTGAATAATGAAATGGTTTAAGAAACGCCATAATTGGTGTCGTTCTTCCTGTACTTTTACGTACAATCATCCGCATTGTATTATCATAGATTGAAACGCTAAAGTCGATTTGATTTAAACGATTGGCTGTTTTAGTTAGATCAGCCATAACAATGTCGTATGTACGATTTTCAACGCAATTAACCAGTTCATTGTAAGTAGTATGGATTGGTGCTACCGTAATATTTCTATGAAATTTCATTCGTTGTTCAAGAAGTAAAATTAAATCAAAAATATATCCTTCTTGTACAATTTCATATGTTCCATTACTATAATTATAGAATTTTTCCATATAAAATGGTGGCGAGATATAAACAGTGATATTCAACGTTTTGCCTAGAAGAAAAAAAAAGATCTCATCCTGAATCAATTCTTATAACTACTATGAACTTACCTTCAAGTAATGCGTAATGAAGTGGAACTATATTGGAATCTCTTGGCCATTGAATTGCATTTTCGGACTCTGTCCATTGGGCGGCACTTTTATAATTAATATTGCTTGTACTATCATTAAATCTCAACACTTCCACGACATGTAATTCACCTTTGTTTGCTTTCGACAATTGTAAATTATCGATTAAGAAATATAAACCATCGTGCATTATACGATCTGTTGTATTACCATGAAATTGTATATGTCCTGAGACGCCAAGAAAATCCATTGTTTGCATAATGTTATGAAGTTCTTTTCGATTGATAAGACGACTATCAAAACAGTATGAAGTATTTACTAATGAGGAACAATCGGTGGACGTTTGTTGGCAAAGCTCTTGGAAAGCCAAAATTAACATCCATGCAGAATCAAATGCATATAATGCATAAGTATCGATTTGCTTGTCATCATCATGGCATGACTGAGGGTCATAGGTCTTCCAAATATCTATCGCATCTTTTAGTAATGTTCTATTAATCGGCATATCAAATGTCTGTGGCGATACCGATCGTATCAGTAATGTACCAATTAATTGTTTATCGTTGAGTTGCATCCTTAAATTAGCTGCTGTTAAAATCCAGAGAAAATCGGGGGCCAAAATATTCCCTTCTTTCACTGCTAATTCTATTATATTTGTTGTGATTTCTGAAGTTGCCCAAACTAGAACAATACGAGAGGAACTTTCTTCAAGTTGATGTCTAAAATTTTCGATTTGATCAGTAAATAAATCGTATTTAATTACGCATGAAATCTTAATTGCATCACCGAAAAATTCAGTTAGTGCGCGTAGTCCGCCTTGACCATAGCTATCACTCTGGTAAATAATATTAGTTGAATTCCAATCATACTTTTGAAAAAGTTTTAACAATACTGCTGCCATTATAGTATCAGATGGTGACATTCGATAAAATGTTTGATAGACATTACGATCGGATAATTCTGGTTCTGTAGTTGCATAGCCAAGTACTGGTAATCCTGATCTATTACAAAAATGTACAAGTGTCTTTGTTTCATATGAACTTGTTGGTCCGACGATACCGAGAATTTGATTTTCAGTAATCGATAAACATGTACGATCGAGTGCATCAATTATATCATGGCCATTTGTTTCTTCTAGACGATAAGCAAATTGTTTTCCATTTAATGTAATATTCTTCTTTTGAGATAAGAGTATAGCGGACATAAACATTGCTCGTTCTTCAGGTGTTATTAACATCGAAGTATGTTGTTTAAGAAATAAACCAAGGATATAGATGTACGAATTATCGTTAAATGAAGGCCAATTAATCATTGCTGTTTCTCTTACTCGATGGTTCTCCTGTTGAATATTCATCATCTCATCTTTTTGTTTAGGTGAATCGTGGTAAACTAAGGCAAATACAGTTGCTAATACGATCAATAAGTATATGATATTTGTCATTTTCTAGAACATGTTACATCTTATATTGTTTTTGTTCTAATACTCTGTTGTTAGAAAAAAAAGCAATGGTATATTCTACTATAATAGATTATATTAAATCTTTACAATTAATATGAAACAACAGAATAGTATGTCATATAGGTAAAGAGCAATGACAACTATACTTGCGCTGTTAAGGTGACGATCAAAATAATGTTTCAGTATTTCAATTATATTGTCATTCTGTCATATTTTTGAAAAAATCATAAGATTAATCTATATTCCTTCTAAAATCTCATAAACACTGTACGAACAGGAAATCATGAAATAACAAAAACTATATATATGAAAGAGAAAGAAAGGGAGAGAAAACAGTTTTTTTTGTTCTTCATGCACTAGACAGAAACTAGCGATAGAATAGAAGAAAACATTCTTTTTATGAATTATATTTTTGTCTATTGAAAACCACAGAACAGAATAAATTAACTTGATTCACTTCATCACAGGAAGAAAAAAAAAATTTATCTATTACGATTTTGTCGTTAACACTTCAATTCTACCTAGACATTCATAAAACAAAAAGATTTATGCTCTAATAAATAAATCGTCACTTTATTATATTGTTCAAATATATACATACATAAAAAGAAAGATTTATTTTGCAATAAAAATATTCTACTGTTATCTTGTTATTCAAATATTCATTCAAAAAAGATAATGAAATATTTTTGAATCTTCTTAATAGTGAATGTGAGTAGGTGTGCGTAATGAATGAGAAGAACACAAACAGTTACACCCACATTTGATATTTCTTGTTAAAAGCCGTAAAGATGTAAATTTTAGTTTATTTATTCGTCAAATGAGAATAAATGAAAAACAATGTAACAGTTCTAGAAGCATGTTGATATTAGTCGACTTAGAGCCATTGCCCATGTCCTGCTTGAGTAAATGATTTGATCTCAATGCCATTTCCCGCCGGATCCAAAACAAAGAGAACATATTGTTCATGTTTTTTTATGTACGAAAAGAAGGGCCGGATAGAACAGAAAATATATAAACTAACACGGGATGTATACGTGCGATATCACATTAACATTTGGATTCATCAATTTCTGCTTTTGCCTATTTGGGTGTTGGATGTATATAAACATATTATGTGTTAATTAGTTTTCGAGTTTCGAAATTCATAAGAGTTCAAAACTCACGGAAATCGCATACCGTTGAGTTAATTTTAAAGAAAAACAAAAGGATCTGATTTTGTTGCCTAAATGAAGAAGAGAATGAGTCAACATTATATGGGCCCATATGAGATAATAGTATGAGTGTAAAGATAAAAAACATTACACTGCTTTTTTTTTGTCACCTTATCTTTTCATGACGAATTCTTGTTTTTTGCATATACACACAAATATATACTAACAAAGTTTTATTAATATTGACTGAATTATTTAGAAACTCGTCATGATGAACATATATTTGTATTTACTATTATTTATTTCGTGGTTATATTCCGGAGAGTGTGCGCAGCCATATTTTCCAAATCAAATCGTTTTTTCTACTGATGATGGTTATATAGTAGCAATTGATGAAATAAATCAACGAGCTTATCAAACACTCGATTACAGTTCTTCAGAGCAGCAAACATCTTTTGCGATGAAACACTTTCCATATGCAATTCCAGATTCACCACAATCAAAATATTACGTTCAATTATTATTACTATCTCCTGCATCACTCGGTTGTCAGTATGGCACATATTGGCAGTACGGGACAAGAAATTTTAATGATTTTCCATTTCATTGGTGGTCTAATGCAAGTTCATTTGAAATAAAAAATTATATAAATTTTAATTTTGAAATGATACATTCAAAGAATTCTTCTATAGATGAAGATTATTGGTATGCAAATGAAAGATGTGAAACTGGAAGTGGTGAAATTTTTCCATGTCAAGAAATTTATTTCAAAAAAGATACACAAATTCCACTTCGATTTACCGAAGTTGTTCGTCATGGGCTGCAAGTTGTACAAGACGTCATAAATTATAAAGTAATATCCATGGAAAAACCGGATGAGAAATATTTTGATTTAATACCAAGAAACTGGTCTCTTAATTGTCAAGATGTTAATCTTGGACTTTTATATGATCCAGAAACAACGACAATAGATTTAAATCAGAGTGCGGATATTCAGATCTCTCTTAGTGCTCCTCCACATCAAATTTACGGAAATGATACTGTTCGTATTCAATGGAAAGCAACACGATCCAAAGATTGTTTTAAATGGACACCCGAAGAATTATATTTTAATACTAAAAATTTTCAAGAAAAACAAATATTAACAATAACTCGAGTTAAAAATGGTCCACTAACAGTTTTTTATCCTATTTTTAATGGTGGAGGTTTCGATCCACTTTCAAGTGACGATTATCCTATTATTATAACATGAATGTTTTTTGAAAATAATTCAAATAAAACTTTTACTAGACGAACACTTGAACTTTAGTAATAGTTTTATTTTATTTGAGGATCTGAGTGTGTGAATAATGTAATCATCTCCCACACCCACACGCTCAAGATGATCGCTTTTCTTATACGTTTCTACGCATTTGGCTGATATACTACGAGTAAACACGATAAATTCGATTCATTCATGACCTGCCTACATGTTCTTATGTATTTCGCTATTTAGACATTCATTGCACTGAATCTTGGTGATAATAATATTAAATATGAAGAAATATAGGAATCGACGGCGTTATTCAACATTGAAACAATAATGCATATCAATTATACACCCGCATTTTGTTCCTATTCTGTATGTAATATACTTTATATAAGTTCGAAAATACTTTCACATCTGATGAAATGAAAGGAGAAAAAGTTATGGGATCGATGATCATTTTACATTCCGTTTCCACATATACTATTGAAAATACTGATCGTAACCATTGATTTCCGTTTTCCATTACTGAAACTGATTATACATCATACAATCAAATTCTCATTTACACTTTTCGCAAGATATATGTACAATAACTATTTTTTCATTTTATTTAAAGAAATTTTTATGAATCTTTTTTCATTAGATCTGTAAACATTTTCATACTATGTATACCTTCAGTTTGATTATTAATAAAATAAGTCGAATTATTCTTTCCATTTGCAATTGCTTGTAATTCATCAAAACGTTTTCTTGCTAATAAATACTGAATAGCTAAATGATGATCATTATTTAATTGTTTACTAATCGCTTGTAATTGTTCAGTAAGTGCTAATGTTTCTTGTTCAATTGAATATTTCTGTCCTTCGGCTTGTCTTTGCATAGTAAGAAAATTAGCATCAGCTAAATTCTTTGCTGCAACAAGGCTTCCTTCACTTTGAAGAATTGTTGATTGTTTTTCACCTTCACTAATATTGATTTTTGCTCGTGTATTTAATTCTTGTTGTCGTCGATCACGTTCAGCATCCATTTGTTTTTCTAATGTTTTAGCTACAGATGCATCGAGAGGACCAAATGATTGAATTTCAGCTTTAGTTGTTTGTATACCCCAGTGTTCAATCGAATCACCAACAACTAATAACCATTCTTTATTAATTTTATTTCGATCACCAATAATTTGATCATATTCAAATTGACCAACAATTGAACGAAGTGATGATGTTCCAACTGAACGAATACTTGAATGATAATCTGTCACATCAAAACAAGCTTTATACGCATTTTTAACTTGATAAAATAAAACAGCAGATAATTGTACAGGCACATTATCTTTTGTATAAGCATCGATTTTATCAACATTCATACCAGCTTCACGCATATCAACTTTTTGAACATCGTGTAATATAGGAATTGATAGACTAAGGCCTGGTTTCAAATGTACTAAAAATGAATGAAATATTTATAGAGCAAAAATAAAATATCAATATAATTACCTGGATTTTTACCAAATGTTGTTCGATATCCTTCAAAACCTTGATTAATAATTGTTAAAAAAGAACGTTTTTGTTCATGTTGAATGGGACGAACAATAGTCGATAATCGAAAGACATTTTTGAACATTTTTTTTATGATTTCTTTCTTTTTGTTTGAGTTTTTAATAAATATAATTTCTATTTATCTACGAAAAAAATGTATGATGCAATGATGTGACACATTGCAATGAATAATAGTGATGTTTGCCTGTTCTTTTTCTTCTAGAAGAAGTAAAGGCTACATAGTAACATGACGAAATTAATCGTCGGTTTTTTCTTCTTCAAGGTCGTGTAAAACAACTGTATTTAGATAAAAACATGGTATTATCGAAATAAAATATTGAGAAGGATTCGATAATGAACAAATTTTTTATAGAAACCACATCTGACAATACTCAGATGTCATCATTTCTTTCTCTTATTACAAATATTTCTCACAGAACAGTAAAAAAATGAGTCATAAGGGGTATAGAATTCTTTTCAAAAAATGGAGACGTCCTTTTGTGAATACGAAAGAATCTAGTCTATTGGTACAATACATCTATGTTCAATCCGTTCAGAATATTTGCAGTATATATCGAAATTTCCAAGGAAAGGTTTTTTTCAACTTAATTCATATCAGCTATTTCAAGCTTCTCTAACAGAGAATAAACACTCAAGTTTGTATTTACTTTTTTCGCGAGACAACACCTTTTATGTCTAAAATTGTATAAGGAAATGATTCACTTCGTACCAGAGGTGATCATAGGGCAGTATTTTCGTACCCTGCCCTGCCCTGCTGGGCGAAATTCGAGCAGGGTACGGCAGGGTATCCCGCATATTTGACATAATATTACATTTTTCTAAGGAATCGATTTCCAGAGCAAACACGATTTTAGATAATATTGTGAAACGTTATTTCACTCAAACTAAGTTACAATAGTATATTTCAACAACTGATGTAGTAAAAAAATAGCAGATATTGCAATAAAAATCACTTTTACCTTTAATAAATATTTATGTGCTCTAGCTGATTCTATAGATGGTAAAATGCTTTTTGAAAATGCTTCATTGAATAGGTTTCGTCAGTCTTGAGTGGAGAGAGAGTATTCTATTAGATGCTTACATATTTCTAAAAGATTTGTTGATAACATTTCAGCAAGGGGTATACAACAGAGACTTCATGCATGAAGTCTCATGAAGTCTTATGAAGTCTTCCGAAGTCTTTGAAGTGTTATGAAGTTTCATGGAATCTTTAGAAGTCTTTGAAGTCGTATGAAGTCCTGTGAAGTCTTATGAAGTCTCATGAAGTTGTGTGAAGTCCCATGAAGTCTCATGAAGTTTTGTGAAGTCTCTTGAAGTCTTTCGAAGTCTTTGAAGTCCTGAAGTCTTGAAGTCTGCTGTTACCCCCTTGCTCGGACGTTTCTTTCTAAAGACTACCTTCCTAGTACTAATTAACGATGCAAGAAAAAGTTTGTAGATCGGTTGTGGCTTAGGTGCAATACTTCTTAGGATAATGGGATATACAATAAGCGATTAATACTTAAAATTTATTCTTTACAACTGATATATTGCGATGTTGTTTGTGTCATGTGAAAGGAGACTCATAATACCCCTAGATTACTTGGGAATGTGATATTCTGCTTTCATAACAGTGCAGCAAATCTTTACGAAAATATGATTATCTAATACGAAAGCTATTCAGTCAATCAGATTTTAGCAGAATTTTCCAAACTAAAACACGTTTTTTCCCTAGAAATCACAATGATACTGCTTAAGAATACTTTGATTGCAATCATTTTCTCGATTTGACATGATCAATATTTCATGGATATAACAGCCACCAAAGAAAACTTTACTTTTTATGGGTTTTTTTCAAACGAAAATTGTGTGATTAAAAAAATAATTTTACACATTTACCAGTTCTCTTCATATTCATAAACATAAAACATCTCTTGGTAAACTTCCGACTGTTTCTCTAAAATCTCTGATTTTTGATATTTCGATTTGACAAACCTGTCTCCATCCGAATTTTTCTTGTATTTATTTTTTTTTCTAAAAATTAATTTGAATAATATAAAAAAGTTTGTTCTCTCTCTCGATGAAAAAATAAAATCTTTCTAAATATTGGTAACGATATTAGGCGAGTTAATTAATTTGTTCTTATTCGAATAATATTGTTTAATCCAACGTTTTAAAAAGATAACTTGAATTGAAGCAAATATTAATTGTTGAACAAAATAAAGAATCAATGGAATAGTTAATATACCAATAAAACCTTGGCTAGAATTAGCAAAAACCGAAGTTATCAATGGAATACCTTGTGCTAATGTTTTCGTTGAACTAGAAAACATAAAAGCAATTGTATTTTCATGAGAAAATCTCCAACGTTGAATAAACTTAATTTGTTTTTGATTGCGACAAATAAATAAATTTGGTAATCTCGATATAAACAAAGACAAAAATGAAAAGAAAAAATAAATAAATGTATTAAGTAGAATTAAAATAACTAAATCTATATTATTAATTGTTGATAATAATTTACTTTGAAATAAATTACAAAGAATTGACCAAACTAAAATTAATAAAATGAAACTATTTATTTCCGTAAAATAAAATTTGTTTTTTGCCCATAAAATTTTCTCTTTCCAAATTCTATGAATTATTTGTCCAATAATCAACGGTAATAAAACAGTTAAACTTAATTTAGAAATAACATTAATATAATTATCAATATCATGTTTTTGTTTAACCATTTCAAATAAAGGATTATTCATAAATAAATAAATTAATGCAGGTGAAATAAATATACCAAGAATATTACCAATTAATCCATTGAGTAATGATATTCCTTCATTTCCACCTGCATTTTTAGTCATAATTACACTAGTAGAAATTGCTGTCGATGTACAAGACATGACAATAATTCCATTTATTAAAAGTTTATTTATAGATAATTTAATAAGTAAAAATGAAATACCATAAATAACAGATGGAAATAATAGAAAAGAAAATGTTTGAATTAAAATATGTAATCGAATTTCGAATATTTGATCCAGAAGATTATTTGTTGATAATGAAAGACCACTTAAAAAGAAAATAAGAATAACACAACCCCATTTTATAGTATATTCAGTACGAAGTGGTCCATCTGATGAACCTAATTTAGGAAATAAATAAGCAAATAGTAAACTAATTAATAAACTTAAAATAAACCAAAAATTTTTCAATAATTTAATAAATATTTTCTTTTTGATTTTTCTATAAATACATTTGAATTCTTCTTGAGAATATAAATAAATTGCATTGATTTGAGAATAATTTTCTATTTTTATTAATTGTTCATCTAATAAATTATCATTTAGAATTAGGATTAATTTATCATCATTATTAATTTGGTTTTTTATAAAATCTTCACAATCATCCAAATTATCAAATATTTGTTTGATCTCAAATGATTCTTCATTGTTCAATTGACTAAGAGAATTAGTTTTGTTTAAATCAAGTCCAATAATAACATACGGAGATTGACAATATTTTAATAGAGGATTTGTTTCCATCAATGAAAAATCTATTAAAAAAAATACTCGAAATCTTTGATTTTCGATAAATTAATATAGATAGACTCATTATCTTTAAATGTAACATGTGCATTTTTTATCGCTTTACCTTTATATTCAATGACAGCCGTCACATCGATTTAATGAGAAAATATATGTGTATGATTTTTTAATAGATTATTTTATTCGTCGTTCTCTTCTTCCTTTATTATGTATATTTTTTTTACTCGGTTTTGAGAAGAAAAATGTTTAATATCGATTCTCTTTCCTTATCATTTAGTATTTTATTCACGATTATTAATGAAATAGTGAAAGTATAAAAATAAAAATTTTAAGAGTATGGGTATGAGTATCTGGATTTCATTCATATCTCCACTCTTATCCACACCCCCTTGTTGAACTATTTGTTGGATCTACTTCATTTCTATCTAGTATAAACTAGAAATACATATATCAGAACGAAGATGTGAGAATCCCATCTAACATCTGCATTGGTTCACAAATTCTTTACACTGTAATTGTAAACGTTCATTAAGCATCCATCAGAAGCGCAATGTCGTTCGACACACGAAATTTTGCTGATTTATGCATTGAGTACACTCACATCAGTTCATTTGACAATATCCACAACCACATCATTTCTTACTGCAGTACAGCAACGTAGCCAAAATTTTTAGACTAATGGGCAAGATTTTTATTGGTAGGCCAAAATTTTTTAGCTCAGTAAAGTACTGATAACTTAGAAAAAACACAAAATAACATTCATGTTTTAAATTCGAACACTAAAATCAGGACAACGAGAATTTATATCGAGATTTTTATGAATTTAAGCAGCAACAAGTCTGTTTTGTTCCACTGTAGACCGTCAATAAATTTTAATTCTCCTCGATTTACTTTTCTCTACTTTTACGTGACTAGGTTCCCGATAAAAACAAACTCATGTTCACTCAAACTTACATTTAAAATACAAGAAACGATTCTTTTGTTCTTTTTTTGATTTTTCACAGGAAGAACAAGCAGAAAGTGTGGGTATGCTTCAAACCGAAGAAAAAGATCTACTCACAAATTAATTCAAAAATAAATAAACAATTCTGAAAGAGTTAAACTGTAATAGGCAAATCTCTAAATGAATACGCCACAGCATTGATAGTAAAAGATAATCAATGAATTCAAATGGTTTATATAATTGAGCAAAGTTTATCTTTTTATTTTTATGAATTCACAATAGATTCTGTCTCGTTTCGTTATCATTCATGTATAATTACATATAGCTACATCTACACCTTTACCCGATTGATGTGGTTACTCGGAGACAAGCAACACGCACGTACGTAAAGCACGTTGAATGATCGTTCTGTCGATTATTGAAAACAAAAATGCGTGACTAAAATCTTTTTTTCTTTCTTTGGTAACCATGATGGTGCATTATATCGATTTACTTGAATACTATTTACATTAACGCTTTCATATAGAAAAAAAAAGAAACAGTTTTCGTCCTTATCGTTGTAGTAAAGACATTTTACTAGTTGGAAATATTTAACAATGCCGTTTTCACTCAATATTTTGTATGTAATTCAATTTTAAAGAATCATTAGAAATTTTATTATTACTTTTTTTTTTGTTTAGTTATTCACGTTTACTTGTTCGTCATCATTGGTTGGTACTTAGTCTTATTGTATTTTGTTGTGTTTCATTAACCGCTATTGCTTTTGTATTTACAAAATTACCTGATCTATCTGATCCACGAATAGGATGGGGAGCACGTGGAAAAGGTACAATATTTTCTCAATTAATGGTATTACGTCATGCAGCAGAAAGATTTCGTCATGCTTATGATTTACCATTAGATGAAAATGAATTATTTGGTATGTTTGAACAATTTTTTAATGTAACGGTAGATGATCTGGATGAAAATACATATCGATCTGATGTACTTAAAAAATATGATATTTGGAAAAAGAAAAAATCCAAAGAAGATAATAATGAATTGGTTGATTATCATGATCTTAATAGAGAATTTTATGATAATACTGAAGATGAAGATTATGATGAAAATTCTGAATCAAAATCTCTTTATCAATGGAATCGTGATCGACATTTTGATGTTGAAAATTTAATAACAAAATATGTCGATAATAAAATGTAAAATATTCTCTAACAATTTTAATTATTTACTTTTTTTGTTTAATTAGGATTAATATAACTATATTAGATTTTGTTAGCAATCTACCACAATTTAATAAAACAAGTTATAAATCAACTCGATTATCTTTTGATCTTTTTCGACCATATGCGTATCTACTCGAAGCAAAATATCGTGGGCAAACAGGTAAAAAAAACATTTTTTCATCCTATGATCTACCTACCTATAATATTCTAGGTCGTGATGGTATGATTGAATTCTATATTGAACGTTCAAATATCAATGATGATTTATTATCACTTGATCATTTACGTTCAATATGTCAATGGGAAAAAAAATTCAAAGATATTCTTACTCTTAATCATGTTCAAAGTCTTTCCTTAGCAACATTTGTTGCATTATATTCATCAAAAAATGATTGCCAATTAATTACTTCGAACGATATTGAACGTTTTCGTTCAATACTTCATACATGTTTACCTTATTATATCAATGGTTATATGGATATATCATTAAGTGATGAATTTGTGACTCTTGTCGGAATGAAACATCAGTCTACGGATTGGACATATCAAGAACAAGTCAAAGCAATTTATACAACTTTACGTCATACATGTTTCTATAAGAATATAACACGTTTTATATTGGATCATTTTGTTGATAAAAATTTTATTTATGATTTTCAACAATCAAAAATTAATTCAAAAGTATCGAAATCCATGATATATATAAGCAATTATAAAATAATTCAATATAATCGTACACGTGATCAAACAATGTGTTTAAAACGACAACCATATTCAATAAAATATTGTCAACAACGTGGTTGTATGAATGATTATCAAGATAAAATGATATCGAAATTGTGTATTGATCAAGCACCACCATTAGGTAATTGTGAAAAATATTGTCAATGTAAATATCAATGCATCAATGAAACCGAACAAGTCATTTTATTAACACCAATTTTCAAAGAACAAGAATTAATTAATTTATATAGAAAATATTTTGCTGGAAAACAACTATTTTCAACGTATAAAAATCAATTTATTAAACTTATTGCATTAAATTTTGCTTATGTTCGAGAAAAAGCAGCAATGGTACAAGTATATAAAGGTAAATAATCATAGACTAAAAACCATCTTGAGGGTGTAGGTGTAATTTCAATCTTGTGTCCATAATACACTCACAAAGATATATTTTTCTATGTCGATCATATTATTTAGATACATTTCTTTCGGTGATTGCTGCAGGATTAATTATAATAATAACCATAGTTTATTTACGTAGTATTACAATTGCTTTTATGATTGTTCTTGGTACAACATTATCATTAGGTGTTAGTTATTTTATTTATCGTGTTATTTATGGTATACCGATATTTCCAACATTGAATTTTTTATCTATTTTTATATTAATTGGTATTGGTTGTGATGATATATTTGTATTTTTTGATACGTGGGATCATGAAAAAAAGGAATGGTTAAGAAAATATCATGATAAACAACAACAACAAATTGATTTCGAGACAAATATTCCATTAAATGATTTAAATACACGCGAAGAAATTCAAACAACGAAAGATGAATTTTCTAATGATTCTCTAGATGAAGAAGCATTGATTGAAATCATGTCGAAAACATTAAAACATGGTGGAAAATCAATGTTTGTAACATCATTTACAACAACTGCAGCTTTTTTTACTAATATGTTAACAAATATTTCATTTATTCAAGTTTTTGGTGTTTATACTGGAACATCAATTTTACTTTATTTTCTTATTACAATTACAGCTATTGCTGCTTTTGCTGTTAGTTGATAACGAGATATCACTTTTATACTAATACTGATTTTTGTTTTTATTCAAGGTTATTTACGAAAAACATATTCGAAATATTTCATCTTGTGTATGTTTTACCAAAACAATGAAAACATCATTTATAAAATTCTGTCAACGTTTTCGAGATTATATTTTTAATTATTTAATGCCATTGATAATCATTAAATTACGTTATTTTTTAGTACTATTCTTCTTCTGTTTAGGCATTTTAGGTTTGAATAGATTCGATATTTATTTTTAGGAAATTCATTGATTTCTATTTAGGTCTTATTGGTGTTTTTTATTATCCAAAATTTGAAGCACCATCAACATATAAAGTAAATTTCTTTGGAAAAAATCATCCAATGGAAATCTATGAATTCGGAATGAAACCTCAATTTAACGGTTATATTAAAGAATACAATCGTTTTTTTGCGTATCCAGAAATTTCATTTGTATTTGGTATACGTGATATTGATGATGGATATATATTTGATATGAATGATCGTGGTCATCTTCATTTAATGCCAATTGATTTACATCGTTTAGTAACTTTAGATTTTTTTAAACAATTTATTCAAGATTTAGGAAAAAGAAATGATTTATTTCTTTCGAATTATGATTTAGAAAGAGATTTTAATGCTTTTTATCAGGTAAATTTCATTTTTTTATTAATCTTATTCAATAAGAGTTCATTTACTTTTAGCTTAGCAAACAAAATAGTTTCATAGATGAAGTAAAATACAATCTATCAAAAACAAACGATTTAAAGATGATTAATGAAACGATACGTGATGCAATCATTGAAAATAATCAACGTTCAGCATTAAAAGAAGCTATGCAATGTATAACAGGTACAGCTGGAGAAAATAATATTCCAATTGAATTTTGTCAAGAACAATTGAAAAAACAACGACCATATAGTTGGACTGTTTTACTTGAGAAACCATCATCAATTGATGGAAGTGTTCGACCATTTGCAATTTTTATTACAATTCGTGGTAATCTTAATAATACAAATTATAAATCTTACGATGTATATTATCGTAAAATAAAAGATTTTTTTGATCCATATATAAAAAAATATGCGCCGATACATTTAAAACATGGTTGGTTTTCTTCTCCAACATTTGCATTTTATGGTATTCAACGTGAAACAGTTGTTGGTTCTTATTCATCTTTAGTTGTATCACTTGGTATAGCTTTACTTGTTTTATTTTTAACATCAGGAAATTTATTTATTGCAATTTATGCTTTGATTACAATGACGTTTTCTATAAGTAATAATTTATTGAAAAATTTTCTGTTAAAATCTATTGATTTTCTTTAGATGTTGCTATTGCTATATTTGCTACTTTAAAATGGGAATTAGGTGTTGTTGAAGCTATTATTTTAATTATGTCTGTTGGATTATCAGTTGATTTTGTTGTTCATTTTGGTGTTGGCTATATTCATGCAGATCCAAATAGAATTGATCGTGAAAGAAAAAAAGTGAGAAATCGATATTTATCCACAGCAACAGAATCGTCGAGCTTTCGTTTATTATGGAAAGAACATGAAGTTGAACGTGAAATACGTGTAAGAGAATCTATATCTCGTGTTGGTTCAGCTGTATTTATGGCAGCTTTTACAACGTTTGCTGCCGGATTTTCAATGATACACGCATCACTTACTGCTTATCGAGAAATGGGTCAATTTCTGATGACAATAAGTATGTGAATAGAACTAAATAAATCTCTAATTGATTTTACTATTTTTAGTGTTAACATCATGGTTTTTTGCTATGTTTTTCTTTTTGCCATTATGTGCAATTCTGGGTCCCGTTGGTGCTTATGGTTCAATTCCATTTACGCGAATTGCTTTACGTTTTAAACGATGTATTCATCGAAACTGAAACTATTGATGGGCATCGAAGCCATTTAGTTAATTTTTATTTTTATATAATTTATAAGTGTACGTTAGAAAAAAGAAACAAATTTGATAATACATGTCATTTAGTAGATTTTGCTCAATTCAATTTTTAAACTACTACCATCTTGAGGGTGCGGGTATGTATTGATTATTAAGCTCACACCCACACCGAAAATTGTTTTCAGTCATTAATGACTTTGGAAGAATTTGAAAAAGTCTTTCTTTAAAATAACGAAAGAAATCGTCTTTTCCAATAATTTATCTAAAAAAACCAGTAACATCTTATATTATTTAAATGTGATAGATTCGATAAATATCCATTGTTTAAATATTTTGATTTTAATATTTGATAATGCTTGATGTTATGCAACTAAAATCGAGTATATAAGAAGATTTATATTCATAAGTTTTCTTCAATGCTTACATTGAAACTAATTGTATACGAATCACCCAAAAAACGATGATAAACATATAATATTTCGTTGTTTTTCTTGTATTTTGTAGAAATAATACCATATATATCAAGCTATACAATAAAAATTATATTAAAAAATAAAAAAAACATATTATTACTGTGAGGTTCTCGTTCTGGAGATGTATGAAAGTACTTTAACCTACAAGATAGTTGTAAGGTTAAAGTGAAATCTCTCTAGGGAAAATCAAGCCTATCGTATCCTGTAAATATATAAAGGGTAAAGATGGAAATGATGTGGATAAAGACTATGTTTATTAAATATAAATAAAGATAAAAAACAGGGAAAACAACTCCTTATATATAACAGAGATATAAAGAGAAGCAAGCTAGAGAGAATAATAGAGAAAGACAAAAGGAAATAATTATGAAGATGTTCATGAGAACAGGATGATCACAAAAGGAAAGAATGAGAATACATACATATATGTATAGTATAGCGTCATGATATAGCAACCGTTGACGCTAACAATTACTTCTTCGTCTTGATATTCAAAACCATGTTTAAGGGAAAATAACTTAGATAAATATAAAAAAGAATTATCAATCTAAAATCAATTAACAAAATATTTTACTAATTATAAAAAGCAAAATAAAAGAAAATTTTTTTCATCATGGTTCATCTACGAGTATATATAGTCTTTTTTTCTTTGTCTCTTGGAGAATAGATAACTAATCAAACACTATTGTAACCTATATGATTATTGCTGAAACTAAATCCATTTGTTTGAATATATTAAGTTCATTTTATTGATACAAAATAACACATAAGACAATGTTAAATACAATAAATTGCGAAGTATACAACATCAAACATACTAACGACTGATATATAAAACAAGATATAATGAGAATAATTGATTCACTAACAAAACAACAATAAAACACAAAAAAAACAAACAATATTCAATACTGAACAAAGATAAAAAATATTCGTCCCCGAAATATTTTAGATTCTTCATCTTTTAATTTCTGTTGTATTTATTTATTTAAAGTACGAGTATGCACATTGCGTGCTATTGTACCTACTTGCTGAGTTTGTAGACGATTCATGGTTAATGTTTGTGGAGCAATAGCACGCGTTGCTCGCCTAAGTAGAAATAATCTTCTACATTTTGTTTGCAAATCAGGCAATGATGTAACACTTGCAAATGGAGTGAACAATATAATCCAAAACCAAAAAAACACACCATCACTAAAATAATCAGGTGCAACTGTCCTTGGCAAACCGGTTGAATATGCAGCGTACAATGTCATAGGTGGAAATAACAGACAGAGATAGAGAGCCGATATGGGTAGTAGTTGAGCTACTAGTTTCTTGTAGTTTCTCCAGGTAACTCTTTGGTGAATTTGATATTTATGATATATCACACGTGCAAGTAGAGCCACACTAAATATAACAACAACTAAGGCGGGTATTATATAATTTACTATACTATCACATAGTCCAACCCAGTTAACAAGATAAATACATGTGTAACGACCACATTGCCTCTTATTGTAATAGAATGGATAATCACAAGGTAGTATGAGTAATGTGAGAGAATAAAATATTATAGGCCAAACAATACATATAGTTAAAGGAACATAATGAAAGAAGAAACGACTTCTTACTGTTGCAAACCAATTAGAATGAAATACAAGAATATGCCGTTCAATTGATGCCCATGCCATCAAGATATAAATTATTACAAACGTAGATGAACTGATAAATGCCCAAATGTTACAAAATGTAGGTGTAGATGACAGAGAATTGTTAGTACGAAGAAAATAAATATTCCACACGACATCGGTAAGAATTTCAATAAGCCCAACCGACAGAAGAAGAATAATAATATGATTATTGAGAGCAGTGCGAAGTGCTCGACTACTGAGAAGATGGTAGAGATTGAAGATGGTGACCATAGTAGATGGAATAAGAGGTACCAAAAGAAGCCATGCGCGAATTGTATTGGCGATTACCATTGAAACTATTATTTGTGCTAGATATTCACTAAAACTTAATAAGAAACAAACGATTCAAGTGCAAACAAAAATGGATTTTGATCTTCAATCTAGATTAACAACATGTCATATATAATAAAAATGTTCACTCATAGCATACGCTGCAAGCTTTTTCATTTACAATATTAAATTCTCTATTTTTTATAAGCTTATAATTAAGGGCATTTTTCTAGAGGAACGTACAACAGCAACAAACTATAATAAGTGATGCATAATAAATCGACCTACTAGTATTTTTACATCTATTTCAGTAATAGTTCATTCTGGGACAAAACGTTTTTCTAGAATTTATCTTTGATCAATCGAAAATAAAAACATACAATGAAATCGGTTGCATCGTATGCAATAAATTAAAGAAGAATATTTAAGATAATAAAAAGATATACGATTTATAGAGAATATCCAGAAAAACGTTTTGTCCTAGAATGAACTATTTTATTAATGACGTAGATACAAAATGCTGAGAGGACTATCTATTATGCGCCATTCGTCAGAAGAAGAAGAAAAAAACTTATTATCATATCCTGAATTTACAACAGAAATGGCACATTAATGTCAGTGTTTACTATATATGTTGTAGGATTATAATCCATTAAATACTAAGATAGAAAAATATATGACTTTAGTAGTATTACGATACATTTAGAATGTATGGTTTAAATAAAAAGTTAAAAACAATCTTCGCTATGAATCGAATATTAAATATTGAAGAAGTAACTTGAGAAGGGTTCCGTATAAAACAAATAATGATGTCATTTTCAAATTAGAAATAATAAATAAATAAAAAATCACATAATTCACAAATAACATGTGGATTATTGAAATCTGACAATTTAATTCACTGACAACTTTTATACATGTCAAATTTGATATGAGAATTCAATTAAGAATGAAATGCGTGACGTATTTAAAAAGTAGAATTATCGAGAGAAAAAATATGATAAAAGAAAACCTTTCTTAATCCTTGCAAAGCTTTGAAAGAGATAAAATAATATTTATTCAAATAATCTTGAGTAAAGAAATTAATTTCTCTAATGTTTCTTTTACGTCTTTGAAAATGACGATGTTGATTTTATGAATCATATCATAATTAATTTTCATTGTTTTACTCATGCAATAATAGTATGAGGATATAGATTGATTGATTATTCTAAAAATACGCATCTTATTCGTTACAATCAAGCCATCAAAAAAAAATTAATCGATATTAAGCCGAATCTTTGATTGGAAGTTAATCTATGCGTTGTTCAAAAATGTTTCCGATCAAAATGTGTATTTTCAATTGAAAACTTGAATTTGATATAAAAAGTTTGATGTTAAAGAAAGAGTAAAATCTACTTAAATATATGCAATCCCAGAGCGATAAATCGGTCAGTAAGTCTGACGTTAAGTTACGTATAAAATGTTATAATATGATGTTATATGACGAAGCAAGATCAAAGAACATAATTTGTCTGAATTCGATACAACTTTTACCGTTATTAATCTTGTCCATTGACTCGTTAATTAAACTTAAATCCGATTTCATATTAACACTAAAACTTTTATTTATGAATCTAATCATCTAATACATAATCTAGAATCTAATAAATACAAATGCACTTCACATCAATACACAATAAATACAACAACGATATGCTTTGCATCAAAATCTAATACGGAATAGAATAACAATTTCTGCCAAATGCTAGAAGAAATCTATCAGAATTAAATTTTAATTATCACTAATAACTTAAACATAGGGACAAGAGTCTTGTGCCGACTGTTTTCCTCCTTCAAAGCGTTTACTCAATCCATATCTATACTACCATCACCAATCAATGAAAAATATCTCAATTTTGCACCTGATGTTTGATATTCATCGCTCGACAACTCGAAATCGAATGCTGTGATCCACTATTACCACCAGAAGGGTGGATCTGAGTATTCTTTTCATTTCACAGTCACACACACCAATCCTCAAGATTGTTTAGTTGATTATTATTTTGTTATAAAAACTTGTTCTAGAATAAAATCAAACTAACAAGATATTTTTAATAATAGTTTTATTGAAGGATTAATGAGTAAGTGGTTTCAATACGGAATATAATTTATATGTTGTAATTGATAGAAAAAAATGTCATATAGTTTATGGCAATGAAAACAGTTCTGCATTGTTCAGATACATATCATTATCCTTCTCACCACCAGCAATCAACAATATTCCATTTGTGAGTATAGATGCAGTGTGGTGCTCTCGTGCAATATTCATGTTGCCAATACTTGTCCAGATTTCTGTTGATGGATCATATAATTCAGTATTGTTTAGAGAATTACCATTATATCCACCAATAACTAATACTTTCCCATTTGTTAGTATAGATGCTGTGTGAAATTTTCGTGCAACATTCATGTTTCCTGTCATTGTCCATTCTAGATAAGAGAGAAAGATGAGGAAAAAATCTATTATTCATAGAATAATTTTGAATCTCTCATAGGGAATCTACTGTTTATCTTATGATTACATATTAAATCTTGAGCGTATGAATGTGGGTGTGACTTCAGAGAAAGAACACCCAGATCCTCTAGGTAGTTCAAACGGTTTTTGCTTCACCGATTCATCAGTTCTACCGGTATAGCGATTAATGATCGTCATCGTTGCATCGCTATTATCTACCCTTATTCAATTAAAGCACCTATCATTATTAACCTCTTACAGTATTACGAGAAATTACTAAAATGGTCAATGAGTTCTATCTCATGAAAATCTCCTTCACAAAAATATCTTCGTATGATACTGTTGAATAAGACGTGCTTACTCAATACTTAGCTATAGCGAAGATCGAATCAAGGCATCAAAAACTGATCGTATTTCGATTTCTTACAAAAAATGTTCCATAATGTTGTGTCTAAATGACGAATATTCATTGGCTAAAATTAGAACTTTTAAATGCTGTGACGTCTAGTAATCATCGTTTGAGTAACTACAAATCATTCGACATAGTACTAACGTGGTATTACTGTTGTTGCTGATGTTGTTCTTGATGTAGTGGTTGATGTTGATGTTGATGTTGATGTTGTTGCTGTTTTTGATGTGGTTGCTGATTCGATTATTGCCGATGATGTTGTTGACGTTGGTGCTGCTGATGTGGTTGTTACTGATGATGCTGTCGATGTTGTTCTTGATGTGGTGATTGATATTGACGTTGTTCCTGATGATGATGTTGTAGTTGATGTCGTGATTGTTGATGTTGCGATTGGTGTTGTTGTTGTTGATTTTGATGTCGTAGTTGATTCTAGTTTGTAGAAGTAAGTTGAGAATGAGACCAAACAATTGAATAAAGTCTTACTCCTCATTTCTTACTTCTTCTCTAACTATATATATAGACTGTAGATATAAGTGCATTATAGCAAGATAACAAATCTTGAGATGGCTTACAATATAATTGTAATTCTATCATCTTTACTCTAATTACATCTCTTGTAAGGTTAGAAATGAAACATTCAGAATCATACAGATTGACTCATATAACATTTGCATACTGCTTCTGTTATTGAAATATGTCACTTTCATTCAAGTTGATACTCTAGTCAAAAACTAATCATAACTTAAAGACCAAAGATCATGAGTATCTATAACAAAATCGAATGAAGCCAGATCGGTGTAGGCCATCGCTTTCTTCTCGGAATTATTCATTATTGCCGTGCACCTAGTTATACTGTTAAGAGTTTTTTTGTAAGGGTATGAGTCACATTAAGAGATGAATACCACACAAACATTCACCCGTCTATTACGGTACAACGGTTAGTGATATACGACACTGTCATGCAGAATTTTTAATCTATCGGATCCGACGTTGTGGGTTCCCCACCTAGGATGTTTCAACTGGAAAAATTATTCACTAATAAACTTTCATACCGCAATTTTCCAAAAAAATTTTGTAATTTTTTTTTATTTATCAGATATTTATTGTTTGTGAAATGTATTCCAAAAGCATGGATGCAAGACTTTTGTAAATCTGTAGTTTTATCTCTCAAGTTTAAGTAAAGAATGATAAAGGAAACTCACCTATGCAAAGATAGAACGTCATTTTGAAGAAAAAGAAGTAAATTTTCTCTTGTTGATATAGTTCTTTAAAATTATTCCTTAACAAAGTGAGTTATGAATTTCATGAAAACCATGGATATTTCTTTTTGTGAAATATGATTTAGAATTTATCTCTATGAAAAAGCAAAGACTATCGTCTTTTTTTCTTTTTTTTCTATGTCATACCTTTTGTCGTTGGATTCTCGACTATTGTTGTCAATTCTTGAGTTGTTATTTCTGTTGTCACAGTTGATAGTTTGATTATATTTGTTGTTTTTGTTTTAACAATCACGACTGGAATAGTTACGATCAAAACAATAATGATAATACAAATAATGATCCATAATAATTTCTTTTTTTTTAAATATTTCGTTCTATAATAAACAATTCTTTTGATTATGAATTTCAATAATTTATAAAATACATACACCAACTTTGATTGATCAGTTGATATTTGTTGAGAGCTCGACGTAACTGATTCAGACTAAACTAATTTATTAAAATCAAACGTTATTTAATAAATATATTACATCACAAACTCCTATTTGATTTCGACTCATAATGAATGTTTTGTGTACGTGTGAAACTCGATTAATAACTTATTAAAATCAATAATCTGGAATATCTAAAAAGGAAAATTCAATTGAGTTGTGTTAATTATAGAGAGGAAAAGAAAAGTATCAATGTAGAAATATGTTTAGAAGATTTTTCAGAATATTTTCAAATGACATTGTCAAAACGAGGAGTGTTACTTTATCTTTATTTTATAAGGAAAAAAAATAATCTTTTTATCTATAGAATAAAGATAAAGTTTTTCTTTATTTTCTTGGAGTAACTCACCCAAAATTATGATATGGAATAACATTTTTCATATATACCGTTTCTTATATAATCCTTTTTTTTGATGATAAGAAAGAGCATTAATAAATATATTCTGTTGTCATACAGAGTATTTGCATATGTACTTACTGTGTGAAAAAATTTATCTCTATTCTTTATTTTAACTTTACTTTTACTAATAATGCTTATTTTTATCTGTATTTTATAAATATAAAGATTAACTTTATTTGGTTATTCTTGATAAGAGCCACTCCATGTAAAGCACAAGCTGACCTGTTGAATTCAGATCGTGTGATTTTATTCATTTTAAGATATGATGCAGAGGAAATTATTCTGAGTTTTGAGGTAATAAACTGACAGAAAAATATATCAGTTTTGCCAATTTAATTGCTTATATTAGTAACTGTAATTTAACAGTTTTTCATTTGTTCGATAAGTTATTTTTTATTTCAAAAATTACAATACAACAAACACAGTAACAAAGCTTTGAATATCTGAATCAATATTTCCGGTTTGACTCTGATTTACTCGTGAAAATTGCCAAAGAAGCGATAAGATCAATGATGTCACCATTGCGTAATCTAGGTTATTTATATGGTATTATGGTCTCCTTCGATAATCGTTCAATACAAGATTTTGTTGTTGTCTATTACATATGATCAATGTTTCAAATATTTTCCGATAGAAGTGGTAAATTCTCTCGCGAAATATTTTCCGAAGCATATTACTCATAAGAGTATTGATGTAAAATGATTCTGAATAGTTTATATATGCAAGAACAATGCTAAATTGAACTAGGAAGTTATCGACAGTTTGTTGAAAAGAATTATTCGGGCGATTAGTTGTTAATAAATGGTAGGAATAACATGACATTCGTGTTGAATTGAGTAAAAAGGAGACAATAGCTTGTGCAAAAATCATCTAGAAAATAAAATCAAAAAAATGTGAAAATAGAAAATAACAGTAACATTAATTTACTAGGACAAGTTGAGCGTCTCTCTTTTGTTTATGCTGTAAGTATTGTAACGCAACAACACGACGTCGTGATGCTTTCACATTTCGAATTGTCCAAAATCCGAATAATACTAAAAGAAAATTAGGTAAAACACCTCCGATAACAATCAAAAACACGCTGTAAAACAATCCATATGGTCCTAACTGTGGTCCACATGTTGGTTGATGATCAAAAAAAATAAGAGTATGTGAACATATAACCATACATAATATAATAACAAGCGGAGCCATACGATGTGCTACTTTCAGTTGAATAAATGCGCGACATCGGACACTAACAAATGTTGATATATATCGATCGATAGCTGCCATTAGTAGAAGATAAGTAGCTGTTGTAGGAAAACATAAGACAAAATAACTTCGAATTTTACAATACATTCGACTTTGATTTACAAGAGTACTGCCATATTGATCGGCAATGCGAGAAATAAGACCAAAACTAATAGTGAGTAGTTCGAATATTGCCATACAAAGAATATAAAATCCACATGAATTACTTCGCAATTGTTTCGACGTAAATGTTATCAAATTCCCCACCGAATTAGATGTTCCAATAAGAAGTAAAATAAAGGGAAGAGCTCCTTGAGTCATTTGATAAATTATCTGTTGAAGTATACATTCCGTAGAACTCATTGAGCTATTTTTTAGGTTATAATCTGAAGAAATCAATGTTAAACTGTAAAGATTACCGCTACTAGCAATTCAAATATACTAATACTAGAGAATACTAATTTATTGGATCGCACTACACATACATTATTTCTATGTTGAGAAACTGTATATAAGAGAAGTAAGTAAGAATACTTATTTTCCAATCGCTAAACACTCCTCACACATCGAGGAAAACTTGAATATTACTGAAAGAACTCTAATATATTATCTAACAGCGAAGAAAACCGAAAGTAATCGGATTGATAAAAAGAAATCAGCTTTCTCTCTCTTATAATTATACGGTTTACTCAGATATAATTTGGTCTATAATAATAATTACTTTATATACTTACAGTGTCTGAGTTGAATAGATTATAGAATACAATATTTAGATTGACCGGGGGTGTTTCTTTCTATTCGTATATATAGAATGAAGAATGGGAAGATTATTAAAAATTTTTTTATCATACAAAGATAAAAATCTCTTTATACTCAAAAATAAAATAAAAATAAAGAATAATGATATTTACATCTGACTTCTTCGGCATGAATTTTTACAGAGTAGTAATATAACTAAGGTAAAATCATGTAGAACTTAACTCAATCATCATCAAAATAATGATTATATCACTAAAAAGAAACTATAACTTCCGATTAATCTTTATAAAATATCGTTACTTTTGCAAAAGATTTTTTCTATAGAAAAGCTAACTACATATTTGAGTTGTTTGGTTATCAAAAAAGCTTCTTATTATACTCTAAAACCTTTCTTTCTTCATTAATACACTCCGAGATTAAATAACTCATCTGCTCATTTTTCTATCAGAAAAAAAATCTTTCTTTTTATCGTATTAATAAAGATTTCCTTGAAAAAAAAATTTTTAATTTGATGATTTTTTTATTAAAAAAGATTAAAAATAACTTAATCCTTCTGGACAAGAATTGTTTGTGTATTGGGAAAGTACTTTATTTAGACTCTTATTTTTTAATAAAGAATCATGAAATTAAAAAATGTTTATTTAATAAAGATAAAGAAGATTTTTTTTTCTAATAGAAAAATGAGCTGATGAGTTATTTAATCTCGGAATTTATTATTGAAGGACGAACGGTCTATCGCTTGATATTTATCTTATCAATAACCGAGTATAAAATAAGACAAATTTGTGAGTTTTTCAGCGAAGAGTGTCTTGAGTATGATAAGACGATTTTCTGATAGAAGAATATTGATTGAAATATAATAACAACATTCATGTTGTATATGGCTATGATGTTTATATTTGTGTTTGTGTTGTTTTTTTTGTAAAAGTTATAACATTTGTTATTTTGTATTATTAAAAGTTTAAAATAATCAAAAATTTCCTTATTATTATTATTTCAAAAGAAAAAAACTACATAAAATTAAACTTTTCATTAAAATAAGGGTGGCGATTTACATATCCATCTTGAGGGTGGGTGTGAATATTGCACTTAGCTACCGTTCACCCATACTCATCTCTCGATTTTCAGAACAACTGACGTATGTGGATGCTTGTGATTATTCATTTTTGAATATATAGTCGTCTTCATCATTGACGATTGAAAAGACGTTTGATTAGTTTTTTAAACTCATCTCGATACAATTTGGAACTCGACATGTAGATATAAAAGGATGATATATAATTGATAAATATGATCAGACGAAGAAATGAATAGAGAGTAAGAAAACTATCATCATTATCGATCATAAGCGATACAAAATTAATTATGCTAAATGGAAGTGTTAAGACACATTCGATCATTGCTTGACAAATAAGCATCACTTGCATCTGATTGAGTCGAGGACGCTTTCGACGAATCGTAGTGTTCGTAGCTGATATAGTTACTAGTTGAAGTGTAGCTGCTGTACGATGTCTTCGTTGGATTGTATTATAGATTATACCGATACTAAAGAATGCCATGAAAAATGGAGGAATTATTGAGTATATAATTAGTTGTAATGATAACACAGGAACGCTATAATATTCACTAACTGAACAAAGGGGTGGAGGTGGTTGATCACTTGTAATAAATGTCACAAAAATATGTGAGTATAATAAACAACAAACAACAATGATGACTGGTACTAATCGTTTTGCTACATAGGCGCTAGCAAATTTTCGTCGATTGGCTTGCACACAACTAGCCGCCCATCGATCAGCATTAGCGAGTATAATGAAAAATCGTGGTACAGTTAAAGCAACATAATACAAATAGGAGACCAATCGACAGGAGAATAATGAATAGGATGTTAGATCAAGATTGAAACCATCAGCAAAAAATCGAAAAGGAATAACAAAAATAGTGACAGATAGATCACCGATGCATCCAGACAGTAAATAGACAGAACTTGACGTTCGAGATAAAACTGAACGAATAAAAAGAAAAATATTAAGAGTATTGCCAACTATACCAAAGATAAAATAGATAAACAGTAAAATACCATGTATTATTTGACTCGTAGTTGATAAGTAATTGAATGAATCATTCGTGTCATAAGTATCATTAGTAATATTTAATAATCCGGCCATTTTCTGTCAATGAACAAAGAAGAGATCTAGAATGAATCGAAAAAAATATTTGAAATGCAATAATACTTAAAGCAATCTAAAATAATGATAATGACATTGTAGTAATAATAAGGAGAAGAGTATGACAGAATGTTGTATAATGGTAAATATAAAGATTTTTATTTTGTCTTTTTTCAAATACTGCCTGTGGGTGTATGAATACGTAGTTAGTAAAGAGAAAATCAAGAAAAAGGAAAAGGAAACTTCTTCATGGTGAAAAGTAAGAAATAATTGGCTACAAATTTTTAGAAAGATTCTTTAATTGAAAGTACCTGTTTTCTGTAGAGAGAAGGTTATTCAATGATAAGAAAAAAAGAGATATGTCGTTGATGTGTAGTTACAAATAAAGAATACATGACGTTTTTTTCTTTAATTTAGATAACAGAATGTTTTCAAAAGCTTGAATATATGACAAGCAGTTTGCAATAAATTTAAATTGTAAAATGAAGCAAGTTGATATTGTTGATATATGTACACTATCGTCTAAATTTAAGTTAAAAATTCTAGAGATGATTATTATCTGTGATGTTTGCACTTTAAGTTTACATAAAATGGTTTTTTTTCACTGAACGAGACATATAAGATTTTGATATATTATCTCCTCTCTTTTAAATTGAATCTTTCTTGCTATCAAGAACATTCAAAAGAGTCAGCGAGTTGTTGTTGTTTTTTTTGCATGAAATTATTTGCTACCGAAGATATTGAGATTTTTGATGATCTGTTTAGGGTATGGATGTGATCTTTAAATGATACCGACACCCACACCTATCTTTCAAGGTAGTCTTCTACTCTTTGATTCGCCAGTGATTTCGCTAACCGCTGTCATTAGTGTGTCCTCTTGAACACGTTTATCTTTATATCAAATTATATTATGTCGCTGCTTCTCATTACTGACATGAAGCAATGCTGTTTTTGACTCGCAGAACAACATCTTATTCAATTTGAAAGACCATGATTTAATAAAAATAGTCAGTGACAGAATGTAAACACAATTATAGAAACGATCTGGGGTGATATAAGATTTTGCTCGTATAAAAATGCAATTTGATTATATTATGTGATAGAAATATGTACAGGATAATACTCCGATGGTCTTCTAAATATACATCGGATACAGTAATGATCACTATCACAGAGATGTACTTTCTCTAGTATAAAAGAATAAATTTAAGGATTTGACACCTCCTATGCGATGTAATTTGTCTTCTTTCATTTACAGTTCTGTCTCAAAAAGTGAGTTTTAGTCATGCACCATCATCTTTTCAAGCATATAAGTTATGATGAAATTACAGAGTTATTTTACATCTTTATTGTATCAGACATCAGCACTGTCTTCGAGTATCATTGCAAAAACATGAATGCGCCTGCTAGGAATCGAACCCAGATCCCTCGACTGGCAATCCAGTGTACTACCATTGAACCAGAGATGCTTGTTTTTAATAGTCGAGCAATAACTCTCGTAATAGTATTTTACTTTAAGTTCTCACTGGCTAATATTGTTTGAGATTTGACTAAATGTCGCGTTAAGAAAAAGCTTATAGAACATTGTGTTACAGCAAGAAAATATATAATGATGCATATCCTGGTGGGAGGGTGTGGGTGTGAATATTTTACTTCGCTAACGCTCACCCACAACCACCCTCAATCAAAGGAACTAAAGTTTGTCCTGTTGGTAGCAATCGTATGGTAACTAACATTAAAACAGCTGAGTCATGATCTGCACATGGCAACATGACACTACACATTACCGTTAGCAAAAATATGTGGTTGGTCAGATATGACGCTTGTGACAATTTCATCAATGAGTTGAAAGTAAAGAACGAGCAGTCATGGTACATCACTCGATTAAATATTGATGATACTATCGTCGACATCAGTCATACAAGCAGTGATATTGGAAAAAATCAATATGAAATGAATAGTTATTGATGGCGTCACTTTTTTCATTTATGTTTGCTTGAAAATTTCCTTTTCGTGGCGCATGTATATGTGTGCACATTTTGACTATATAACACATGTACTTCGAAACATTGTAAGCAACAGCGATAACTTGAAATGTTCTTCCTTGTTTACTTTTCGTAACAAGGTTAAATTCAAGTTAGTAAAGTAATCATACCATTATATAGGAAAGTAGCCTCACCTTAGTTCACAAGTCTAGTCGCTGAACAAGTAGTTTGATTCACGGGTGTGTTTATTTTTATTTTAGAAAGAAAAGGGAAACATGTGGTATCCATATTACAACGTTCCATTAATGAATGATCCGCGTCAACAATATTATGGAATGGGATCGATAAATAATGATAAATCGTTGCACATTAGTAATAGAGTATTTATAACAGCTTTTGGATCTGTCCGGCAACCAGTGAATAGGCTATTTATGGAGATTATGCCTGCATATCCTCGAAATTTCTCAAATAATTCATCCAATCACATTCGCTTGTTGGATACTGTTGCTATTTTTAAACCCGTGAAAACATTTGGACCAAATTATGCGAATTGTTGCGTTGGCGCACCATCTGAAGAAGAGAAAAACTTTGATATAGTGGATTGCGTGAGAAGATATACGAGTGAAGGCGGTTGGTTCTGCTCAAAAATAAACACTGCGTTGAATTCTGATAGTCAACAATTATGTTCTTATGAGTATAGTAGTTATATTAAACAGTTGAAATATTCCATATGGAACTCGCCCATGCGTTTCAATGGCACAGTATTTCGAGGTATGATCTTTATCGTTACTTTCATGTTTTCGATTATACGAATATTATAGGTGTGGAGCTGTCGTCGAAAGAAATCGAACTATATGAAGCTCCGACGGGTCCTTTTTTCATTCCAAGTTTCGTCTCAACATCGAAAACACAATCAAAAGCATTTAATGATAAGAATGTACTATTGCATATTGAGATATCTCCTGATGTGAGAAAGTTTTGCATGGAAATGACTCCACCATTCTCTGATTATGATGAAGATGAGATATTAATCTCGTGTTACAGTGTTTATCTATATGAACGCACGGAAAAATCGAATAATCAACGAATCATCAAGTTACGTCGATTAGATTTTAAAACACACTACAATGGTTATGTTCATTCTTGAAAATAATCATCGAAAGTCACACGAAGTGCTTGGAGCATAAATGTGCTTAACAAATCTCTTAGCGTAATTCTTATAAAATAAAAATGTTAATCATGAATCAACTTTTGTTTTCTTAATCATTTTTATCAACTGAGTCACTAATAGTTTATAAAAAGCGTTTAGTAGAAAAATTTGAAAATATGGATATGGTTGACAGTGTGAAATAGATGTGACACTCATATCTTTTTCCGCACCCTTCTTACTAGGACTGTATCCAAGAAATTATCAAAACATTTGTTATAAACCTCGAAGAATAAGTTTAAATTGGATTGTATGTTTCGTCTTTTCCTACCCTTAAACTGACACATTCATTATAGATCGTTTTGCACGAAATGATGAAGCTTCTTCATTCTACTTTGAGCCAGTCGATATGCAAACATCTTGAGAGTGTGAGTGTCAGTAAATAGAAGATCAGTATTTAAACACATTTTCATTCAAATCCTGACTCATCCTGTAAGTATGTGCATGTCTTGCTTATGATATCCATAATCACATCCATACTCTTTATTCGTTGTTAGTGGAAATTCTTTCCAAAGACTTGTGCTACATCAAGTCTGACATATTTTTTTTAGAAATAATTGAAAATGTCGAAATGTTTAGTGATAGAGTATTAGTATGGACGATATTCTTTAATTACAGAAGAGTGTACAGAAAACATGATTAATAAAAATATAAGTGTGTGTGTGTGTGGGGGTTATTTATAAAGGATACGAAGACCCACGAAAATACCCAAATCATGAACTTATACTATCAGTAGATAGTTCGATACCAATTAGACATATTCACAAAATATCAGATCTTCATCTTGTGGTTTAGGAAAAATAGAAAAGTCACATTTTCTTGATTTTTATTTCTATCAACGGATTTTCATTACTGAGCTGTTTAATGGAAGTCAAGAAAATGCGACTTTTCTATTTTTCTTAAACTACAAGATGAAGATCTGATATTTTGGGTGTGGGTCTCTGGATTCTTCTCATTAATAACCACACCCACACTCACCCTCAAGACAGGTGAAGAATCCTTTGGCATGTATGTTACTGTTTGCAAGAATGTCTATAAGCGGGGATCAGTCCATATTTTTTGCTATATACTTCAGCTGTCATTAACAATCGTTTTTTTTTACAAAAATAGGTACGTCAAAAAGCTCGACTAAGCAATTCAGTCTCTCTTAAAAAAAAGATATCAGTTTGAATTAATCTTTAACTTTATTTAGAATTCTTTTATCGTGGAAACTCCCTGAGCATAGCACATCCTATGGTGGCATCAACAAATCCTAGGGTTTAAACGATGGTGGAAAATAATCTTGTTGCGGACAATTACGTGCAAGGAGACTACCTTGTTTTGGATACGATTTATCGTAGATAACTTGACCATTTGTTAGAAATCCAGCCCACCAACCGTATGTTCCCGTTGTTATTAAACTATCATTACATAATGTTAATATAGCCAGATCTTCTGACGGCGAATGAGTATCGGAAGTTACGACCACATCATTTCTATTTGACAACATTGTTCGACACCACTGTTTATCGTCACTAGATACAATAAAGAGTGAATCTGGACTTATGCTAGTGTAATATGACATGCTTGCGTTTATGTACGCAAACGATGAAGCAATGACGCCGCCCCAACGATGTCGAAAAGACAGAAAATCGCCACGACGAATATGAACTCCAACTAGTGTGGCCGTTCTATTCAGTGATCGAACATAAGTCTGGGCTTTCTGAAAAATATTCGTATTAAACGAAAATTGCTGACGGATCTCTTTTGAATAATCTATAAAATACTTATATGATTGCCAATATCCCATTAATCTTATTGAGCGATTCAGTTTATTGTCTTCCATCAATGACGGATAGTACATGCACGCACCATTCGATACTGTCGGAATATTTTTCAGTAGTAATAAATCTTTTTTTGAAATTAAACGTGATTCATCAATCAAAAATATCTTTCGAAATGTATTTAACATACGCAAATCGATGTACATTAGACAGTGTCGTCTTCTCGCAAGACCATATGCAGTAGCATACATAAACATTTGATTTCCTAGACGACCTTTCGCTTGTTGAACAACAATCACGCATGAACCACCAGTAATATATTCGTTTACAATCGAATTATAATGTTTAAAAACAATATAGCCGACAAGCAAAAGTACGAGGCTGAGCAAGGCAATTAATAAATGAGTACGATTATTGAAAAACTTATGAAATTGTATTTTCAAATGTCGACAATATGTATACATCATCAATTGCTGAATAACGATAAAAAAAACAGCTCTTCGTGTGTAGATGCTAAGCCTATGACAGTTTCAGCTTTCACATAGTAAACTTATAGTGTCTTTCTAAAATATAGATGGAGAAATTTCACATAAAGTGTATCAATGTAAAATCCTACACAATCGAAGTACTTTGCGAACAAGTAGTGGTGGTTAAAACTCTACAAAATGTATGCAGATCCTCGACTTGCACTAAAGAATCGATAAGGCAGTTTTAAGAGAAAGCTTCGGTCTGAGTACAGAAGACTTTGTCTCTGACTCCGAGTAAACAGTAAATTCGTCAGGCTCCAAGATAATTGGGCATTTAAGATCTTAGTTTTCGATACTGAATATCAAGATCTAATATCAGATTTTGAGCACAAGTAATCAATCAAACGTCTAACGTAGACTCAACAATTGGTTTATGTTTCAAACACATCATCAAAAGGAATATCAGTTGATAGAAACTTCAGGTTGAAGGAGAAACGTGTACCGTGGCTTACTCATCGCCTCTTGATTAGGTATTTAGTAATATATATTATGTGGAAGATTCGCTTTCCAAAAAAGACTGTCAGGCCTAGTATTAGTCGAGTGAGGCCTTGTGGTTGTATCTATAGTTGTCTAATCACACCCTGAATTTTGGAATTCATCCTCGAACATGCTCTATGTAGCAATGGATTTGTACATCTAAAGTTGAAATACTAAGATATTCAGAAACTATTTTGATAGAGAAACTGGCTGAATAAATTGAGTGTGGGTGTGAATAAAGGAGAGACATTTACATTTACGCCTTCTTATAGATGATAATGTTTTGGGTTGATGTATATATATATTCTACAAAAGATCTTACTGGCTCACAAAGATCATTTTAGACACACACTACTAATAAAATACAATACAAATCTACTCATTCGTTTTTGTTGTTGTAGTTGGTCGAAGATGAACGACGTAGGAAAATTTTAAAATAATGAGTGACTACCGCTGTTGTACTTTTTTCATACGTTTTCTCTCGAAGTATTGACGGGCTATATGAAATACATGTTCCTTCTCGCCACACGATTGATTTTTTATTCTCTTTTTTCTCCTATTGTTCTGTGTCAACAACATTTAAAACGGTGAAAAAGGTAGATTGACGCTCGATTTACGTGTCACAATTTTTCTGTTATTTCTTTACAATGCCATTCAAACACGATCTCTCGTCATTTTATTTTTTTTTCAACTTATTCGTTAGCATACTTGTCATCAAGCAAAATCGTCAAACATAATTGAATATCTACGTAGGAGTGTTCTCGCATTGATGAATAAGGTTATAGACGCTAGTTCGTTCAATCTTGTACCTGTATCCAAACACCCATCTCGTTAATAACCTCATTCGTATTTATTTATGAGAAGAGTGATGCTAATATTTAATTAAATAAACCATAAATGCTAGTTGAATCACATTTCAAAAATTACTATGATAATAAAATCAAAAGAAATGCTCATAAAAAAGAACATACTCGACCCTCAGAAATGGCAGATATAGTTCCAACCTGTTGTGGCTGTTTATAATTCTCGATTCGCACTATTATCGTTTGGGGTTGTTGCATATCGAGCAAACAGTTTTTTCAATTGTTTATATGTTCGTATGTGACTGTCTTGAACATTAGCATTCATTCGGCGGAAATCAAGATACAGCTTGTCAGTAAATACAAGTGATACGAGACCTGACGATGAACATGTACCTATATCTTCAAGTAAAAATGATACAATGTGCTTAGTAAGAGCATCGGCCAGTGACATTTCTCGTTGATTATTAATCGATTTAAAGTATTTGAATGTGATACAAGCGCTTACACACTTTGCATTGCGATTTCCAATGTCAATCTTTTCAAACAATGAATCGCCGTCGTCCATTTGAGATATACCAAGCCAACAGCGATAGCTCCCACTGCATTAAATGGTTGTACTATGTAACAATATTTGCTTGATGATTCCATTGATACGAGATCATTACTTGTTGATTAGTGATCTCGAGTGGAATATCATTATTCAAAGCATCTTTCTTCTTCTCGCCGCAATTTACTGTTGGCAAATGGTACAAACTAACAAGTATAGGAACTGCACTAGGGATGTATTTGAGAAAACAGATAACTTCATCTACTACTTCTTTTCAATTATTAGTTGCTACTTGGTTTTAGTAATTTCTTTTATATCTCTTTGTGAAAAGTTCGAACGTTGCTGCTTGTGATCAACTACACCTGCTATCAGCATCACCATCTCCTATGCAGTCGATTGAATATCTCGTTTTTTGATATTATCAAAAGATCAAATGCTATGTGATATATGTGAGAGACTAATTAAAGGATAATAAAAATAAAGGTAATTACGCATAAACAAGAGATAATATAAACATAAATCCAATTAGTAGCTTTTATCTTTGTTCTTCTTGTGCTATGGTTGTGTAAGGCTTGTATAAAAAGACACCCTCTAATTAACGCTTGTCACGATTCATTATCAATATATTTTGTATTGAATGAAAAAGTCAAATTATTGATGTAGTTTTTCTTGATTTTTGTTTTTTTGATAATTGCAATTTTATACAATGTGATACGTTCTTATAAAAAGAAAGTGTATACGCCTACTTTAGTAGTATAAAAATCAGTGTACATAAACATTTTGTTTCAAATATCCATTGTAGACACTGCGTAGAAGATCAATAGTGCAAAAGTACAAATCAAAACAAATAACACAGATATTTTTATCAATTTAAATAAAACTGTAGCGAAAGTTAGGCGAGATTTTTAAATTACATATAATGAGTATTTTTTTTTGATTTTGCTAAAACTGCAACCTTCAGATTTTAACAGTATAGAAATTCCATGAAAAAGACCTGTTATTAATCGATATCTATTTAAAATGTATGATGACAAAATGCTACGCATTATTTTTGTTTCGTATGTACATGCGTCGTGTAATGTGCTGCTATGAGACACTATAACGACCATATAGCAGAAAAATATTTTTTTTTGATCGTTTCTCACCAGTGTTGTTATGTCTGGTTGCGCGTTAGTATTGTTTTTTTTCGCTTCTTCATACTATTTGTTCTCTTTCGCATGCATTCACTTTGATGAAATGCAAACGGCAAATAACATTGCATGCCGTAATGAGATGCATAGAGCCTCTTTTTTCATGTATTCTTCACACGCATCCCATTTAAATACAGAATAATATTCCATAGACTACGACTCATTCTGTGACAGTGCGATTTTTTCTCTCGATATGTCGTTAGAACGTATTTATTTATTGTTTGTTGTGTACTAATGTACTTTTTTCCTACTGTTTACTGTAAAGAAAGAATCAAATGTCACTCCGATGTACGACATTTTTTCGAAGCAGAATGCATCCATAGTACAGATTCAGCAGCAGAAAATCTTTATTATAAAATTCTATCACTTACTCTACGATACAATATGGCAAAATCAAAATACTTATATAATCTCCATTTGTTTTTCTTTTTCTTCAGTACTCCTTCATTGTAGAATCCATGTGAGTTTATCACTCTCATATATTCTTCAACGGGTTTATGATGCATAGCAATTTCATAAAACCTCGTAAGGAGTATCCACTTAAAAGGAATTGTCGTTACTGAGAAACAAAGATGAAAATCTAACTAAAATAAAATTGTTTTTTTTGTATTTAGCAACAATGTTTCGCTCACGTTGTCATCGTCCACAACACAAACCTGATTCAATTGAATATCATATATCTAGGTCGCAAATATCTTTTTTACTATCACCATCAACAAACAACACTTCGACTAAATACTCTCCACGTTACCGTCCAGTTCTAATTACATTTCCATTAGTCGTAACATTAAAAGAAATTTTATCACAAAAAGATTTTATTGATTTAGCTTCTAAACATTCGTCAACACCTGTATCAACTACAGATAATGATGATCAACAGCAGCAGCAAAACACGGCTTATTTTGAATTAGAAGGCAAAATATTAGATGACAATTTACGATTTTCATCAATTATTTTAATGAAAGCATTAATATTAGTTATTAATGAGAATACTCAATTAAAATTTCATGAAAGTAAACGTATTTCACCAGATCCTACCGCCGTAGCTGAACATCGTAAAGGCTTAATTAGTCGTCTTCCAATTGATAATGGCCATCGACCCTCAACTAGTAAACAACAAAATTATCCAAATGAGAGTTTAGATTTATTATTTGATACATTGCATGGTGAATTGTCATATATAACTGAATATTTAAAAAGTCATATTGGTGAAAGACATGATTTTACAACATATCCAATACAACTACAAAAACAAGATAAAACAAAACAATGGAATGAATGGGAAACAGGAATATATAAAATGTGTGGAGATGCGGATGGCACAGTAAATATTGCGTTAGCTTCTGATTGGTATGCATATAAATATATATAAATATTCATTGATTGATTTACTTTTTTTTATAGGGGTGCGGGTACAATGGAATCAGCACTTGTTGCTAGTTCAATGATGAATGGTTTAGATTTGAGTACTCAACAACAACTAGCTACACCTAATCTACCACATTATTCAATACATTTAGGTGATATTTATTATGTTGGTCTACCAACAGAAGTTCAACATTGTTGTCTTGGTGTTAAACCACACTGGGCAGAACAAGGTGTTCGATGGCCTATTGGACGAAATGGTAGTTTTACAATTCCAGGAAATCACGAATTGTATAGTCGTGGTTTTGGTTACTGGGATCATTTTTTACCACAATTAGGTTTGTTCAATCCTGAAGATTTAACACAACCTACACAACCACAGAACACTTCATATTGGTTATTAGAAAATGAACAATGGAGAATAATTGGTCTTGATACTGGCTATAATTCATTTGCACTAATAACAATTGATAATTTCTCAATTAAATTACCAGAAGAAATAATGGATTGGTTAAAAACAGTTGTTGGACTTAGTCCACAAATGACTGATAAACGTGGTCTATTGTTTTTCTCACATCATCAAGTGGTGAGTGCTTGGGACGAAAAACCATATACAGGTAAATATCAAGTGTTTTGTGTGTGGTGGTTCATTGCTTATACATATTGTTTTTCATATCGAGGAGCGAATATGTTTACAGATATCCTCATAATAGGCTAAAGAGTTGATCATACTTTATATATTTAGAGTTTCCTGAACAAATAGCATCATTATTACCAGAAGGACAGACTGTCCTCTATCTATGGGGTCATGAACATCGTTTGAGTTTTTATGAAAAACAAACAATCGAACCGATGCTAAATTCTGGTAGTAAATTATCGTTATATGGACGATGTATTGGTAATTCTGGTTTTCCTACGTTGGCAACGCAACTTCCTATCAAAGCTCGTGAAACTAAATTATTATTTTATGATGATCGTTTATATAATGTTGAAGATAAAGATGCTTGGAGTGATATGGCATTAGGTTTCAATGGTTATGTGACAATGAAATTTGTACGTCCAAAACAAGCAGGTGATACAAGTTTATATTTAACTTATAAAAGTTTAGATTTAAACACAAAAGGACAATTAACAGCTGAAAATGCAACTATTCTAGTTAACGAAGAATGGGCTGTTGATTCAAATGGGAATGTTATTCTCGTTAAATTACAACCTGTCAATCAAGAAATGACAAAAAGCGTTCATATAAATACGAATAATGATGAATCATCATCATCAAATGAATCACACTGTTGTACAGCTTCATAAAAAAAGATATTCTAATATTAGTTAGACATCTCTTTCTCGTACCATAAATATTCTCGTTTGTGAAATCGTTTACATGATTTTCCTTCATCTATAATTTTCTGTAAATTATATATATGTTCATCCTATTTTTCCTCTTTTCTTTTTAATTTTGGTAGATGCGAACATTGACAGTTGTCATTATTCCTTGCATCTACGATAAGAGACCTTGTAATTGGTGAAAAAAATCAGAGTTTTAGTTCGTAATGTTGTCTGAACCACAGAAGTTGCAGCGCATACTGAATATTTTCTAAATAAAGATGAGAATGAAAACAATGTTATTCTCCATTCATTTATCCTACACAATTTCCAACCGTTTCAGAGATCTTCACTAATTTTATTAATATTCTAGTGATTTCTTTTTTAATCGTTACTGAATAATCCAGTTCATTAATCGGGAGGATATAGTTGATTAGTAACTTGTGAGCCGGATACAAATGTCTATTTAGACTAAAATCATATTCAATTGATATTTAGCTTCAATGTAAACAAACTTGTCGTTGCTACTTCGAGCCAATTCCTGTCATAAAGATCGTCTTAATTTTACGGATTACTTTTAATATTGTTACAGAAACAATGTCCGGACAAACAGATAAGACTGATCTACAAGATGATGAAAAAAAACTTCAGTTATTTTTTTGAGAAGTTTTCTGGCACCTGTTTAAGCGTTAAGTAATTAAAAACTAATGCTAAATATTTTACTTAAATTCTTAATGAAAACGTGTCATTTTCTAGACACAAATATTAGAAGTTGTCAGATAAACATGTCGTTTTTTT